TGCAGTAGTAGTAGGTAGGGTGCATGTAGAAATTTACATCTAGTACCATAGGTACATCGACCTTGAAGGTTGAGACGACATATGTTAGTTGGCGAGTGCTGTGTAGGTGCACTCTGACTCCCTTGTTTGTAACCACTAGATTCTTCATAAGAGATACACCAATCCACCATGACATTGAGGGGGGTAGTTGCTTGAGGGTGTATTTGTAGGAGTGGTTGTCGCAGCCAAACTGGAAGACCATCTAGGAAGGCTCGACGTAAAGCCGTAAGGGGTATCTCATGGTTGAGATAGCGTGCATGTTGTTGCAAATTTACAATGATGCTGTGTAGGGCTTCGACATTCTTAAAAGTAGTGTGGTTGATATCTCGGAGCTGAGCATAGATCTTATCCACGTTGTTAGTGATAGACCAACGGTTGTTAAACCAATGCTCTGCGGACTGGAGTCGATCGAGTATGGTAGCATCGGAGGCGATGTTCTTGGCTAGGTAGTTATCAAGCTCTCGGGCTTGAATTTGCTGCATACATACCGTAGTCAAATATCTCCAAGTATCCATCTCGCTGAGCGCTGCCAGTCGAGCAGACTCGGCTACTCTATAGAGGAAGGCTGTGGCTGGACGCTTGTCCGAGGTGCCTTGCCATACCTTGCCGTCTGGTGGTTGGAGGCGTAGAACTCCTGCTAGAGACTTAGCGTCCTCAGTTGTGCTTGTTGTAGTCGCAGATGCTAGAATGGATGTTGAGGTCGATTCAGACGAGTAGACCGAAGAAGACCGGTGACGATTAGCCTTGGCTTGCTTGAGGAGGCGTAGGCAATCTACCTTATGTTGCAATGTAGCGTCCTCGGGAAGTGCTTCCTCGATGTCCTTAACGCTGACGAACTCTAAATCAGATACATCCTTGAGCTTAAGGGTCGTAAGGAGTGTACTGTAGGGTCCAAGGCCAACGGGTTCTCCACCAGCTGTTGGGGTTCCAACCATACTAGCAACGCGACGAGGTGAGGATATATGTGAGCTGCACTTAGATCTACTTCTACGCTATTGTGCTAT